ACGTCAAACGTTATATCGCAGATTGTTATGATACGACGAGTCCGAATACACAATGATGTGACTTCCACGCAAGATCTTATAGATTAGGTTATCACACTATGATATATCCGCAATTGTAGGAATAGGTATATTATTGTAATAGTACTAATAACGAAGTAGACCTTAATTCTATATGTTTGTCGTCACTCACTAACGATTCGAATTGCGATTTTGCTGGACACATCAAGTTCAATACTCTAAAAGTTTCCTCCTCTTGTGTAAAGCATCACTTACGAAGAAAAGTAAGGTCAACGCAAGAACTAATAACCATATCGATTACTGTCATCTGTACCAATCTGGCTGCACGTTCAATGATAAAGAAAGATTTGCTTAATGCTGTTCTGAGTTCAAGTACCAGATTGATCGTTCCAGTAGGGGATTTTGAACGTCTGATGATGTCATTTTTAAGGCTTTGAGATGTGACGATTTATGTTATGACTACGCTTTTCGGACATCGTTACTGGTGGAGACGCGAGATAACAGAAATCGTTTGAAAAACGTCTTGGGTTAGTAGTTTTTGTTCGTCAAGAGCGCTCAGTTTGTGTTCCCTAGATAGAGTGACCTAAAATTTCATTGGTTCATTTCCACTTTCAGTCCATTGTTTTGTGAAACTTTTCAATGACACTTATTACTACATTTGCACTCAGCGTGATACAATTATGGTTCAGTGTGGCGGTCTCTAACACCGCGAAACTTAGATAGTTCAGTGACTTTCCAAACCTGTCAGACAGGAGCCTCTTGAACATAACCCACCTTACTCGAGCTGATTTCAACGAACAAAAACTGGTCCTCCGATTCCATGCCGGCACTGTGCCCTATGATATTTCGTACGGACCTGTCCTTCTAAACGACGTCGTTGCAATAAATCTAAGTCGGATGGGGTTTGTGGAGATTTTAGAAATTTTCACAGATTGAAATCGTGAGTCAGTTGAGGCTAGACGCCCATGGAAAACCTGGAAGCACTGGACGGCCGTTTCGTCCCAGTGTGGGACTCTTCAGCAGTGCGCATCCACGCCGTTGGATGCCGGCTCGAAGGATGAGCACTGCTGAGGAGTCCCACACTGGGACGAAACGGCCGTCCAGTGCTTCCAGGTTTTCCATGGGCGTCTAGCTTCAACTGACTCATGATTTAAAACTGTGAAAATCTAAATCTATTGGTCACATAGGTGTATTCTTCCAAAGGAGCGAAACAAAGCAATCATCACACCAGTCCAGAAGTATCAGAACGCCTGTCCCCGAATCCTGCACAAGTGAGCCGAGCTTATTAGCGTTTTGCCGGAGCCAAATCTAAGGTGGGTGTAAATTCATTACCCTTAATATTATCGAGCATTCATTTAGATTGCAAGTAGTTATTGCATCAGGCAATACCGTCATCTCTCGCAAGTGTTGAATCGAAATGGGTGGCTCACGCATTGAGTCAACAACACAGAAGGCTCGTACAGCATGTGGTTGTTCCCTGAGTTTGTTGAGACGACTAGATTTTGAGTTGTTTTTCCGAGAATCGGTATTCACCAAGGTAATGTTACGAATACATTGGTTTGACCAGTCGCTGCTGGCTGACGTCCTACTAAATGTCGTATGCCATCTGGTAAGGCTGCCAGTTCCCATAGATTTGTTCACTATACTAAAAGGTGGGACGTTCTTCACAGAGTCATACCCTGCTGATGCTAATTTACAAGTGGAGGCGGCTGAGGAGTCGAGAGAGCTACCTACCATTATTACTCACAGTGTTTTATTTTAATATAATCGTCTAAGCGTTGGAGGTAAGACCTCACCAGGTATTTTCCAGCGACTTAAGAATACCATCCTAACGGGGATCTCGAGGGTCTCAACGTATCTTGATGATATCCTAATTGCTGTCACTTCGGTAGAAGTGACGCACACGACATTTTGTTTAGGCAAACGTCCTTTCACGGCTTATCAGAGGTCTCTCTACCGTAGAGGAAGACATGGTTGTCGTCAAACTCTCTACAGAAGACCACTTAACAGCTACCATTCATGCTTTACAAATGTTATCATTAGACATGCAGGTCACCTCGAGAAACAATCCGAACCTTAATATAACGATAAACCACGGCACTAACGGCTGGCTGCCTACCGTTTATGACGATGACATGAGGCAGCTTTATCGTCGTTTGGATTCGTTGTGTCGTAAATGAATGATTAATGTTTGGAGAGGGTGATTGTGCCGGAATTCTTACGATCTGAGGTGCTAAAGGAGTTTCATATCGACCATCACGGTGTAAAACGGACGACGTCCATGGCTCGAAATTATGCATGTTAGCCGCTCACGAGCCAGCACTTCATGGAGTTTGCAGGCGTATGCAGTCAGTGCCAACAACGATGGTTAAGGTGTTAGTGCTATTAGCAGAAATCTCCCTAAACAGATTGCCTGGTGTAATTCAATCAGATAATATTTCACAGTTCACTTCCAGCCAGTTTCAAGAATTTTACCCACGGCTGTCCACCAAGTATTTCCGCTCTTCTCTTTACCATTCACAGTCAGATAACAAAGCGGAAAGTTCTGTGGACGCGTTTAAGAGGGCTTACATAGGTCAAAAAAGGTAACGTCGGTCGAATTAACATAGAAATTCTTATCTGTTTATCGAACGACGCCAAACGGTGAGTTACCAGAGTAGATGTTTTCCAACAGAGGTCTTCATATGGAGAAGACTGAGGATGATCGAAAACCTCATGTGACCGGCATCCACACCACTAGCACAGACTGAACTTCAGGAGCTGCCGACGTATGGGTTGGATGTTCCGTGTCCACTTGAGATTACAATATGAAACACTACCCCTGGATGAGAAGCGTCCATGGTCGGTAGGTTAGGCTAAGTCACATGTGAAGCAGGAGGAGACATGTGAACTCGGCACCAGAACCAGCTACGGAAACCGTTAAACCCAAGTCACTCATCGGAAAGCAGAAGTATTTCGAAGGCAGTCCTATTTGTTACCTTCAACCTACTCACAGTCCCAAGGAAAGAAGTTCAAAAACAAATTGACTCACGTTCCAGAAGGTGGTCATGTAGCGATATTGGTTCCTCTCTACAATATAATAATAATAAATCAGATTCTGTGTAGTTGAGAAAAATATTGAGTTGACTTTAAAGAAGGAACGGGAGAAAATAAGATGATAGCAATAAAGGAGATGCGAAATAAATAAATAGTTTAATAAGCATGTTTATGAACACATAACAAAAATAAACGACTACATGTGTATCTCCAAATGAGTAGCGAAAATGAAATAAAACAAAATCAGTAAGAAAAACAACTCGTTATTGCAGTAAGATATGACGTCAGAATAAGTGTTTGTGCAGTCATAATTTGAAGCGATGCTATGAAAATCTCAATTACGTTCAATGGAGAACTAAATATCAATATTTTGAGTCATATATACATAGTGAAAATAAAATGAGTCTGAGAAGTTAATTCAAGTGTAACACAAGTTATTGTCTTATTTACAAATTCCGGAATCTTAATATTAATATTCATATAGAAGGAAAAGAGAGATATAGAAAAGAAATGGACACCTAGTGAGAGGGTACAACCATGATAATAAAGGTATAGTGAGTAGTATATTGATATTATATTTATTTAAGTGTACTATAGGACAATTTGATTTCTTTTGTTTTTAGTTATAGATGTATAGGAATAAAGTATATTTAGAAGGACAAGAAAAGATTTAAAAAATATCTAAGGTGTTGAGAGATTAATAATGATATCAATAACAGCAATAGTTATAAATACGGACATAAGCGAATGTCATATATTAAATTGAAATGAAAGAAAACAAAATAAAACGGGCGTTAAAAGTTTCAACGGTTCACATTGATTTACGTCAATTGGACAGATTACGGACCTTGTCTAAATAAATCATTATTAAACACATTGGTATTCAATAGGTGGCACAATGCGCTTTGGGAAAGAAATTTATCAAGGACACTTCTGAACCGGGTTGTAGTTACACTGCAACGGAGGTCCACTGGCAGTCTGTTCCACGTTGTTAAACAAGAAATTATTGTTTCATATGATATGTAATGATATCCAACGTACTTGAGGTGCGACTTTGGACTCAAGATTAGCACAGAGCCATTATTTCAAATATAAAGCAGATATACTTAGAAAATGTTCGAAAGCAAGTAAACAGAATGGTGAAAGGTATTTCTGACCTTCTAGAAACTCCGTCACCTGTTTCCGATATTTTACTATGGGTCACTACGCTGTCTAAAAATTGGTTTACTGTTTGCTGTACAAAGATTTTGTTAGTTATGTCTCAAAGCTTTCTTCCACTTTGGATTTGTCACTCTATAAAGGACCATCGGAAACTCCATTGACTAAGATCAAATAGTCTACACTGAAAATTTTCGTTTTTGTAATCTGTTCGCGAATTGCTGAAATTCACCACTTGATCACACGTATCTTAACACTCAAACAGTGTCAAGATATGCATAGTACCGAGAGTCATGAGGTTTAATACTTCTTGAAGCCTTTTAATTATACTCTTTATCGACGACTTCCAAAAAGGGAGTCGAAAACTACTCTAGGCCTTGTGATACTGAGAGGATCCTTTCTATAGACTGAGAAAAACCCCCGAAGTGACCCATTTTTTGAATCTTCGATGTCATTGAAGCCCCTATTTAATTTACTGTATTCAACGCATCTAACGACTCTCGATCAACCATTCTCACTCTATAAAGATCGCCTATGACATGGTATTCATCCGCAATTCTATCAGCATTGAATACTCGTAACATTTCTACTCATATTAGTACTACCTATTATGGATTTCAAACTTATTCATGATGACAAGGAATATGTCGGACTATAACAAATAATCTCAAAATTAATCTCGTAGACCACAAATTTTTATTAAATAATTTATATTTCTGCTAGTTATTGTTTCATATAATGAGATGAAGACAATTTTTTGGTTTCAATCAATTTTGTTTAAATAATTGCAACGACGGAATATTCGCGGTTTAACTTGTAGGACATCTCTTTTGAAAGTTCCGCTAATAAAAGTGAGCGCAAATCTAATTTTCCCGCCAGTGTTTTCCGCGGAATTTTCACTTTTATGGATCCTTATAAAATGTATATTATATTTTATCATGAAGCGATTAACGCTTTGTGAAAATTTAACTGCCTACAGCTTCCGAAATAAGATACGGATTGTTAAGTCTGCTGTCATAAAATTTTACGAATTATGATATGAAGGTTGTTTAATAAGATGTGGCGAGATGAATCATCTTACTCGTGAGTGTTCATTGTTCTTATTTACAGGGCTGGAAGCTCATTCATATCACATTAGTTATTTCATCCCGTCTTCACCATTAATAAGTTTTTTCAGTGTTTTATTTTCATAATATGTTGTTTATTTTGAAGGTTAAAGAGGTTTCTCGACGTTAGGTCACTATTCTACAACGTTTATTAGTTACTCAGTTTGTTTGAGGACTCCGAAGAACGTAGTGGTTACGGTATCTCGTCAGTGGTACAGAAAGGATTTATTGTGATTACTCTGAGTGTATTGAGATTCAGTTTGTGAGTATTAGAAAGTAGCTTCAGTGACTGACGTGTACGTTTCATTATTTTTGATGGTAAGGCCAAACGTTTTCAAATTCTGTCCAGCCTCGCAGTTGGTCCATCTAATTGTCCATGTGATAACAGTCGGACGAGGGATTTCTGTCATTGGTAATTTCACTATCACTTGCATAGTCTGCATTTTTATATAAACTTAGTATGGTTCATTGTTCTAAAACTCAGTATATTACAATTTCTACATAGTGGTTTTTAAGTTTCTAAAGATAACTCTGTAGTGTAATCACTTAGTCACATCGTAAAACCTGCACATATGTAAATCCGTTCAAGCTACTATACTTTGTTAGCATAGAGGTTGTCGGGACAAATTCCAGTATAGTAGAGGTAGTGACAGTATTAGTGATAATAGGAAAGATCAGGGGTCGGAGATATGACTCGATGGAAATGTAAATTATCAAAAAAAACGTTATGAGGAGTTTAAAATCTTAGGATTAGGAGGGATACAAAAGATGGACGCGCCTGTCAGGACTTCAACCAGGTTTTCTACGCATTATCATGGACTGATACCATGTTTTTGGTTTGGCCGCCCATAGCTTCCCTCCACTCTACTGCTGCAGCAGAAAACGTCACTCTTCGATGTAGGTGGTAGTTGGGGATACGTAACACATGCCCTGGCTATCTCAGTTGATGAAAGTTCACTAACTCATCAGTCGATTTCCCACCTCTACCTAGTACTCTATTCTTAAGCTGGGCATTGCCTACTCTGTGGTCACAAAATACACGAGCAACGCTTCCTAGACACCTACGATCGAATACCTCAACTCTTAATGCCCATGTCTCACACCCACAAAGAAGGACGGAGGGAACTGCTGAGGAGGAAACTCGAAGGTTAGCAAAAACCAAACCAGCCTTCTGAATCCATGTCGAAATTTCTCCAAACAACGTACCATCAGTACTTACGAGAGTCCTATTATAAATGTAGTGGTTGATGCGTTGAACTATTTCACTTCCTATAAATAATTCATGCGGTAACGTAGGCCAATCTTGAAGTAGCATTTTATTTTCAAAGGGGAAAAACCGCATCTCAAACATGCTCTCACTTTGCTTAAGATGGTCAGAATGTATTTTCAGTGCCTTCACCTAACAGAACTATATCATACGCTCATTTTAGGTCGGGAAGTAAAGCTCCTAGTAGAAAATTAACCACTAAAGTCAGACAATGGAAGTGTTATCTTTAAGAACCTCCATGTGTCAGAGTTAATTAAAATCGAAGTAACTGATTCAAAATTACAGTTTGCCATAAGCTCTAACCCAACAAGAAGTGTTCGAGTAGAGAGACTGTACAAGGTTAATGTACATTAGTATGCCTTTTAGTGACAGACACTACCATAGAACCTCACAATCAACAAAGCCGAACGCCGCCTAATAGGAAAGGAGTATAGTTATAGTAGGACGTCGAAGGGTGAATATTTGATCTATAGTAGTAATAATAGTGTAAAGTGCAATCTCATTTTTGACGCTTTATTTCTCTGGTTATGACTTCATATCAATCAGGTAAAATCACTAGCAGGATCAGGAGTGACAAATTCGAGAACATTGATTCTCACAATACAGTTAGAAACAATTCTTTCCAAGATATTTCTGGCTTGGATAATTCTTTACTAAACTTCTTACTGTGGATTGTAATCCAAGGTGAATATAAGAAATCTTATCATGGTGATTATATCTTAGTAACATGCACTATTTATTTACTTAAATATAAACATTGGTACAAATAGATATGCGCCACATAAGTCATTCAATTTATGTGAGGGCTGGGATACTGCCCAGGTGCCCAATCCAAAGCAGGTGGTTTTCTTAGCGGGCCACACCCTGAGCCTTTAACCTAAAAGTCCAATCCACAACGCAGTGGAGCAACGTAAGGAGATGCAGTCCCATGTTAGCCGGTGACCAACAATAGGTTCATACGCCATTTGTTTCCTTAGGATTCCGGAGCCGACGTGTATCATAGGTTTGGAGTCATAGTTTTCCAACTCTCCTAGGTGGATTCTCCGTATCCACCAACCCAGTTAAAGCGCCGGAGATTCGCTTCTCGTCCTCTTAATTTCATAAACAATAGTAATGCGGCGAGAAGACAGTGAGTAGGACTTCCCTGGTAGTGGCTATATATTCGTGGCCATGTGAGAGCATTTCGAGAGGGTGAGCTGATTTTCCCGACTCTCAGCCTTACCAGGGCATTTTGGGGCACTAACTGGGATTCGAATCACTAGCACGTTTATTTAAACTTTCATTTGGTCCAAGGCTTCGATGCATTTACTGTTTGGACTGTAGTTATGTTTCTAATGTACATCGTCAGACATTCACGATAACCAGGAGTTTATCAGTATTCTTTGCTGGGAAATCTCAAGTGATAAAGATAGACTACTTTAAAGTGTTTTAAACATTGTTTTAGAATAATTCGAATCAATTTTATAGAAATTTTATTCGTTGGATAAGATTGTTATGTATTCAGCCCCAGCACAACTTGAGGAAGTGCTGTTATAGATATCCTAGCATTGGTCACTTTCCGACCAACCACGCTGCTGAAAGATATTTGTTTGGGAACGTGATAGCAAGCTCAAAGGACAACTTCTTACGACGTCACTCAACCTGATCACCATGTCATTATAGCTGTCTCACCCTTTACTCAACCACTAGGTCAGCTTGTTTGTATGTGATCTTACTCAATAATTTTTAACCAACGGCTCATCAGGTTATTTCTAATGTAACCTCATATTTCAGATGGACCCTTATGGAGCAGTATCGGCAGATCTATTCGACATACCAGCTGCGGAACAAGAAATAACTGTTGGGTCTAATGATCAACCAATTGTATCAGGCAATGCAAATTTACCAGGAGTTGGACATTCTGCTGTATCTAGTGCAGAAACCATCACTATGGGAGCAGATGGAACCTTACACTTTCAAAAGGCACCATCTAGTCAACAAGGCCCACGCGTCATAATGTTGCAAAGGAGTGCCCCAGGGTCTGGACCGACTGTGCCAAACTCTCCGGTTCAACGTCCAGGATTAAAGGTAACTTTATGCATCAGATTACTTCTGTTTATCAGTTATGTATATTTACAACAATCATTTTAACACTTTAATCCCGACCGAAGCTGCTACCTTGACGCGGTGGTCGGGCTTGCCTATCGTGATGACCCAACCGAGCTATATTGGCTGGAACATATGTTCCTGCAGGTTCTACCATGCCAGGCAGGTCGATTGGCGAACGGTAAGACTAAAAGCAGCAACTCAAGGTCTGAGGGCGAAGTCGTACTGCTGACTGTACAGAGGTGTGACAGCAGTAAGGTGTTTCCTTCAGACAACCAGCATGACAGCGATGCTGCCTTCCCACAAGGAGGGGTGGAGTTAGAAAAGGTCGACCCTAAAAATGCACACCTCACCTTACCTCACGGATTTCCGTCTCCGGCGGTAAGGCCCCTTGAAGAACGGAGCTAACACGTCAAAAACCTTCCACAAAAAGGCCGTGCGCGACCGGCCTCAAGCAGTTGTCCCTTGGGCTCTGCGGTCACGCTCCCAGGTCGTCAAGACCAACACTAATCCAATTTCCTTTTCAGGTTCATCAAGAAATACCCTTCCACGGTGTGGGCAGCCGGGAAGTGACATCAGCCCTCATACCCGTGACAGCACAAGAGACCAAGGTGGTCACATTCAAATCCTTCCTACACCTCCTAATACCTCTCTTATCCTCCCGACTAACCCTCCTCACGTCTCTTTATCACCTCGCACCGCTAGGGCAAACGATTCGAGTACGTGGAACGCCATTCCTGGTCTCCTGAAACCACGCTCTAAACTACACGTAGGAGCTTTTAACGTACGAACACTGTGCCAAATAGGACAGCAGGCTTCCTTAGCTAGGACTTTAGAATCTCGCGCCATCGATGTGTGCTGCGTCTCCGAAACGCGCATACAGGATCCGAGTAGCGTCATTCATTTGACCTCACCATGCCAAAATAAAGAACCGACTCGATTTACGCTTCGTGTATCTGGAAGCCCTGATTCTGCTTCCCGTGGCCTCGCCGGCGTAGGTATAGCATTGAGTCCTAGGGCAGAACTAGCTCTCTTAGAGTGGATCCCAGTAAACGGTCGTTTGTGCGCTGTCCGACTGAACGGAACAGTAAGAATCCGGAAAGATAGGGACACTCGTCGTTGCCTCTTCGTCGTCTCTGCCTATTCTCCCACTGATTGCAGCTCAGATGATGTAAAAGATGAGTTTTACAGAAAGCTTTCGGACCTTCTCCGAAAAGCTAAGCGCTCGGATGTAGTAATAGTGGCCGGTGACTTTAATGCTCAAGTAGGTAAACTAAGCGATAAGGAAAGACACCTAGGTGGATCCTATGGTGTCGTGGCTCAAAGAACAGATAATGGCGACCGTCTGTTGCAGCTATGCTCAGATAACCGCCTGTTCCTTGTAAATACTAACTTTAAGCATAAGGAAAAACATCTTTTATCATGGCGACCCCCTAATTCGTCCCAACGTTGGACCCAAATAGATCACATCGCTATCAGCCACCGATGGAGGGGCTCGATAGAAGACTGTCGCTCATTCTGGAGCACATGCCTAGATTCAGATCATGCTCTAGTGCGAGCGCGTATTTGCTTGCGTCTTACTGGACGTAGGAAAGATCCTGCAAGGAAACCTCTTAGGGGCCTACTTAATGATAGTCAAGCTAAGAATATATTTCAGGAACAACTAGGAAAACAGTTAGGCAGCCATGTATGTGATGCCCACCCCGAGGCAGCATGGAACGATATCCGAAAAGCTGTGGAAACAGCAGTGATATCTGCTAGTAAGGTAAACCGTAAAGTTAGGGAGCAACACTGGATCTCAGCAGCATCTATCGCACTGATAGGTGCTCGAAAACTCATTCCACCTGGCTCTGAACATAATGAAGAGCGGAGTCAGCTTAAGCGCAAGCTGACAAGAAGTCTACGCAATGATCGCGAACAGTGGTGGGTAGCGAAAGCAAGAGAGATGGAAAAGGCAGCGGCAATAGGTAATAGCAGACAATTGTTTAGACTCGTTAAGGAAACCGGAATTAGGAACCCGACCGTTAGCGAAACAATCTCAGAGAAAGATGGACATATTATTCATTCTCAATCCAGGAGATTGGATCGATGGGCAGAACACTTTAGGGATCAGTTCAACTGGCCTTCAGCCACACTTCGGTTTCCCACGATCTCCAGTCAACCTGAATGGCAAGTTAATGTAAGTCCTCCGTCCCTTTACGAAGTTGAAAAAGCCATAGGAAATCTGAAACGAGGGAGAGCAGCAGGCCCTGACAGGTTTACTCCTGAGATTTTTAAGGATGGTGGTCCAGTATTAGCAGCAAGATTAACTGAGGTCTTAGGTAGAATGTGGGAACTGGACGTAATCCCATCTGACTGGTCTCAATCACTGATTGTGCCAGTTTTTAAGAAAGGACAAAAGTCCTCTTGTGACAATCACAGAGGAATCAGTTTGACTAATATAGTGTCTAAAATGTTGGCCTCAATAATACTTCGACGCCTAACTAAAGCTCGTGAAGAGCAGACTAGAGAAAACCAGGCTGGTTTTCGACCTGGACGTGGTTGTATAGATCAGATATTCACACTACGTCAGGTTCTAGAACAGAGACACACATTCAGACGCCCCACAATGGTAGTATTTCTCGACCTTAAGGCGGCATTCGACTCCGTTGATCGTGAGGTTCTATGGCAGTGTTTGTCACTGAAAGGAGTACCAAAGAAGTACATTAACCTTATAAAGGCTCTCTACTCGAACACAACTGGTAGAGTGAGAGCTTATGGCGAACTGTCATCAGAATTGATCACCTCAAGTGGTGTTCGTCAGGGCTGTCCACTCTCCCCATTCTTGTTCAACTTTGTCATTGACGTACTTTTAGAGATAACACTCTCCTCATCTAAATTTACAGGGGTTGAACTTCTACCAGGAGGTTCACTTGTTGACTTAGAATATGCAGATGACATAGTTTTATTTGGTGAAGACGCTGACAAAATGCAGAGTCTTCTGACCACTCTAAGCAACAATGCAAGCATGTTCGGGATGCGATTCTCTCCCTCGAAATGCAAAATGTTGCTTCAGGATTGGGTTACATCGACACCCGAACTAGTGATAGGGAGTGAAGTAGTTGAGTGTGTCGACCGCTTCACTTATCTTGGAAGTCTCATCAGCCCTTGTGGTTTGGTGTGTGACGAAATCTCAGCACGGATACAGAAGGCTCGACTAGCTTTTGCCAACTTGCGTCATTTATGGCGTAGGCGAGATATCCGTCTATCAACCAAAGGACGTGTTTACTGCGCAGCAGTTCGTTCCGTCCTACTTTATGGCAGTGAAACATGGCCGGTAAGAGTAGAGGATATCCGTAGGTTACTAGTATTCGATCATAGGTGTCTTCGAAACATTGCTCGTATATCATGGGACCATCGAGTAAGTAACACAGTTGTTAGGAAACGGGTACTAGGTAAAGATGGCAAATCAATTGATGACGTAGTGAAACTTCATCAGTTGAGATGGCTGGGACACGTGTTACGTATGCCCAACGACCGACTGCCTCGACGTGCTATGTTCAGTGGTATAGGAGTAGGTTGGAAGAAAGCTAGGGGCGGCCAAACCAAAACATGGCTCAAGTCCATGAAGTCACTGACAAGTGAACTGAGTCATGTTGGTAGGTGTAGACTACCTGGTTGGGGACCGCGAGATGACAGCAACCGATGGTTAGAGACCCTGAATGTCATGGCTCAAAATCGTTCGCAATGGCGCAGGTGCATCCACTCTCTGTGTTCTCCTAAACTCTAATCTTCTGAATTCTTCATGTCCCTTTTGTCCTCTTTCCAAATTTCTTTCACTGGATTATACTCTTTAAATAACATCTCCAAACCCTAATCTTCCCGATTACTGCTTATACTCTTGCTACCTCTACCACTACGGGATTTGAATCGACCACTGCATCTCTGTGCTAATGTGGTGTGGCAACTCGAACTGATGTACGTACGTACGAAGTTCTACGTTGTTACTGACTGACTGACTAACACTTTAAAGGTTCCATGGCGTTATCCCTAAAATAGTTATTTGACATGATAACGTTATAATTGGTGCTTAGTGGTGTAATTTATCTTCGTTTACTCCGTAAAGCCTATAGAGTATTCTGTTAATCACATGCTTTTTCTCTTTTTAAGACTGTGAAGATAATTACTGTTCCGGGTCAAGGTGCTGGAGGTAAACCTCTAAAGGCAGCAGGTAAGCCATAACTTGTGTGCATATTATGGGTTAAGGTTTGATTTATGGGCATATTTTAATTGTTGAAATATAAAGCTCAATCGATTAATCACACGCAACGTAGGACATGGCACATGCGTACGTTACGTATGACAGATTACTGATCGGTTGCTGGTGTAAAATGGTATGTTTTTGATTGTTAGCTACTTAACAGTAGAAAAGCAGTCTTTGGCGGTGAAAGTTATATAGTGGTTGGAAGTGCTCAATCATCAAGTCACTTAGTTTTGGTTGTACTAATGATTCTAATAAAAAATTTCAGACGGATCGATGAGAATATCAGTTGATTGAGGTAGTTGGGCAACATAATACTCATGCCCAACCACCGCCTCCAGTTCTGACCAGCATAAGATTAAGTTGGAGAAACAGTCCGGGACAAGGGGGAAATATGTGGCATCTGTCCTTAAAATCATTGGCTGCCTGGCGTATGCCGTCTGGAAGGACCCAAATTATCTTGTTGGAGTCCGTGCGACAATTAATCTCAGTCAGTCAGCTACAGCGTAGGACCAGGCACATATATGCATCGGTCCAAGTTGCCATACCACATTAGCACAGCAAGATGAACACCGGATTCATAGAATTAGTTGATTCAATGGTGGCAATATATAAAAAATGATTATATATATATATATATATATATATATATATAGTACAGGAAGAAAATATCTACGATTCAAAGTACGGCCCGAAATTGACCTTGGTGCCTCAGGCGCATATATTCCTTAAATTTCTCCATAAATCTTCATTTTACACCTCACACTTATTTCAAACTATATTCCTCGTAATGTTTTCCACTACAATGGCTATCAGTGTTTTCACACCTCTGGTATTCATGTTGTCGATTCCTCTCTATCGTGATGTAAGTTGTATGAAAACCTTCACGTATCTGTTTTAGGTACTAGTCTCTGTACATTTTTGTTGGGAGAAATAACTTATATTAGCTTCCTTCGTGTACAATTCCCGTGTCAACATCATATATGAATTTAAACGAATGTCTTTAATAATTATTCAATAATACTGAAAATCTTTTAATCTTCAGTTTCTGTTGTGAATGATAGCATATGTCGTTCTATTTTTAGTGATACCAATGCATATGCTCCAAAGAACTGTCAAAATACTTCCTGCTGGGGGTCAGCAGGTGATAAATTCTAGCGGCGCTACTGTAACATCAAATTTCCCACGTGTTCTTACCATCCGTCCTCAGTTATCATCTGGTCCCACAGTCTTGACCGGTGCTACCACTATTACACCTGTGAGACCTGTAAGTTTATTACACATAAGTAGTTCTTAATTTTGACCACTTCAGGAAATATGGACTTTTTTGTTTCATACTTGGGACCAGTGTATTTTTGGTCAATCATTTAAAGATACATTTTCCCTTCTTACTTACTTTATCATTGATTAGGGCACGCTGATTTTTTCTGGTGCTCCGTCGACACAGTTCACTGGATCTTCTGTCAACTATCAAAGTTCTGAGGATGTTGAAAATCAAATGATTATAGGGTCGGGAGGTGAAATTATTAATGGAGCTCCTCACGGTGTCCTTACAACTTCTGGTTATTACGATATAAATATGCATAATGCCGCTGGCTTCGAACACTCAGCCAGTCCGGCTGGTCGTGAGGAGGGTGAAGAACAAGAACAGTGAGTTGTCGTCACTTGATATGCATTCCTTCTTTTCACAAGCCTAACTGACATCAAAATATGCTACAAGTTTTATTATTATTTTATTTACTAAGCATGTTCATTCTCATTATGAATCTTCCAAAATTGTTCTTTACAATCTAGCATGTAGTCTTTGAGGTTGAGTAAATAATTTTTCTTTGAGCTGTCTTGTCGAAATAACTTCCTTAAAACTCAAGTTTCATCGTCGAAGAATAGTGATATATATATACATATATATTCCATTACTTCGTTCATCATAATTTGATACTCTACATCCCTCTTTTTTAGGGTTACAACCGGTCTGAAAACCAATGGTCTTCGACGTTATGCCCGTTGTGTTTGTAACAAGGTTAAAGAGAAAGGTATAACTTCCTATAGTGAGGTTGCTGATGAGCTTGTACACGAGTATGCTGCTGAACATCCCATGATTCCATCTGAACAAGTGAGTTGTTGGATATGTTTCTTGACAAAGATTATTAGCAACTGTAAAGATTATTTTGAATATTTAAAAATGCAACAAATCACGTTATTTTTGTAGCTTCATTATATTCAGAAGAATATTCGTCGGCGCGTTTATGATGCATTAAATGTTCTAATGGCCTTAAATGTACTTCAAAAAGAGAAAAAGGAGATCCGTTGGGTTGGACTGCCCGTAAATATGATAGAAGAGTGTCGGCGTTTGGAAGAAGAGCGTGAAAAGCGACAGATTTCTCTGCGGAATAAAGTACGTTCATGACGTTATCAGATTAAATGATTATAATTTAGTTCAGTTTTTCGGAATAATACTTTATTTACGCCACCATTGTGGTTAGCTAGTAGAAATATGTGCATTTTGCTCAGGTATTAATGACTTGTCAAAAGTGATCAAAAGTCTACGATCAAGTTAATTATCCTGACTCGAAATTTCCTGTTTTTGAGTATTTAGTTTCAGTGGATCATTTATTTTTTCCTAAAAATCCGGTTGCATAATCGTGTTTGTCCCACCCTTCCTAACATCTCTTACAAGATCAGTATTCTCTGATTTTAATTCCATTCTGGGTATTTTAGCGATATCTACTTTCAAATAGGTGGACTTCACATCAGTTTACGGAAACCTACATTTTCACAAAATTAGATTATTATTTCCAAATGTACATATTATTTGTTTGTTCGTGAAAGGACTGATGGGCAGGTTTTCCTGCAAATCAATAAACTGAGGTTATTACTATATAATGTCGTATAATAAAGCTTTGAAAATCAATAATCGTAACAAAGTATGCTTAAAAGCACAAACTAGGCCAAAGAAAGTGGATATGTTAGGATAATCCTCAAACCAATAATCATACGCATTCCTTTAAAAATACGACAATAATTGTCATTCTTTGAGTTGATGGGGAAATATTGTTTTATTGAAACGTTATTATAATCTGATTCCTTTTTTTCCACATAAACATATAGTATTTTGTTCATAGACCATAACAGTCCCTACACTGTCATGTTATTTGAATTGCTATGAGTGGAAGTAATGTTGCATCTGGGTTTTACGATGTATGTTTTTTTACAACCTAGAAAATAATGTAATCTTGTGGTCTCTATGATTCCATAGATGTCTTCTAAAGTTTACAGCTTGTTAAAGTCGAATGTTACTTTTAATGAAATTCGATAACTTATTTCAAATTCAAATGCGTCCGCGTTTAAGTTAGATTTACTGTATACTATTCAGCTTCCCAAGCCGAGTTAAGTGAAGGGGTTTTTCAAATCCCAATTCAAGTGGCTTAAAAAGACGTTTTTAGGCTATCGCATCACATCTCTAATAGTGTCATTTTACTATGGGAGCTAATTTACTTTAACTTGTCTTGTACCATACCTGTTGTTACATATCATGGCTTCCACCTAAAATTTGTTAGTGTTTCTTTTCTCAAACAACCTACTACTTCAAAGAAAGATTTGAAATTTTTCCAAAAAATATTATTCGTGAGTAAACTTAGTTTTCCGTTATCAATTTTTATTTCAGACTGTTGAAATACAAGATCTCATTATGCAATTGATTGCTTTTAAAAACCTTGTAATGCGCAATAAAATCAATGACCGTTGTAGACGTAGTGGTATGGTTTCAGAATCTAACACTTGTGGTGGATCACGTAACATCGATACTGATTCAGATAAAATGACATCTAATGGTACTTCGAAAATTCGTAATGAAAAGATTCCTTTACCATTTTTGGTGATATCCACTCACAGGAAAACTGTTATTGACTGCAATATATCTACTGATAAGTAAGTTGAATCTGTCTACAATTCGTTTATCTAATTTAAACAGTAACTGAATATGGAATGCATAATCTCTGAGACAGCTTTTTAATGTAAGAATATCATTGGATTAACACCTTTTAACGATTCCCTCCTTTTTCTGACTCAAGTTACCAATATGATCCTCCATTTCTGTGAATATGTTTGCTAGTTTTACACTAGGTTACAAGCTTGACTATAAGTTTCTGTTCAGTTGCTACTGATTGTGTAGCACGTAAACAAAAATAAAATATGATCTTACGATAAGTTCATTGATTAAGTTCCATCGTTTACATTAGAATGTCACTGGGAAGGCTATGACGAAAAAAGAAAGAATTGACTAGACAGTATTTTGATTTACTCAGTCAGCTACAACGTAAGACCAGGCACATATATGCATCGGTCCAAGTTGCCATACCTCATTAGCACAGCAAGATGAACACCGGATTCATAGGAGTGGTTAATTCATAGGTGGTAACATATAAAAGAAAGATTGCACATAAGAACATAGTAAATTTTGATGTACTATAAAATTAGTGTTCAGTTTCTGTTATGGAGCAGGGTTTAGTGGTTTGATGATCGAATTCTCGGCTGTTAAATTGAGGGAGAAGATTGCTGGTTTACAAATGATTTGCAGTGATACGATGTGACGGAGTTGTGGCTGCTTACAACATCGCATTATTAACGTATGCCCCTGAGTGATTGAAGATCAAAAACAAAGTTACTAGCCAGGAGAGTAGGTTTTTCATCTAATAAAATAACATACTTATATATAAGATGTTAACACAAAAACGGTTAGATGTTATAGATGATTCAACAAAATCAATTTTGTAAGTCGATCATTCTCCAACGTATAAAGGCCTAACTGTTAAACCTAATTCTAGCCCAAATTATCATTTTCGAAGTAAGATTTTGTGGTTCAAGAGTGTTGCTTTTATTTCTAATCGTATTCACTAGATGTTATCCCATTGATCTCTTTTTTCGCAACGTGATCGTCGGAAAAAACAATACCGTCAGTGGTAAACACAGAATATAACTCAAGTAAGAAAACATGCAGAACAATATTTAAACTGAAGAGCCACAAAAATACAAAACAATATGTACTCCATCGTAACCAATCTCAAGCCACCCCAACAAGTGGGGAAGATCTTTAGGTGGACCTCGATCAGCAAATTTTCTTTTCTTAGCACGGTTCAAACCACTACTCTTTGATTTCATATGTGTATACCAATTCCTACTTTGTCTGCCCTTGCTGTTCTCGAACCTTTACTGTTTTCCGCCTAGATGGGATGTGGTTAGGAAAGAATAGCACAATTTCTATATAATCCAGTTGATGAATATTCACAACCTCATCAACCCAATCACCGTCTTGACTTTAATATCTTACACTTGATTGAATTTCTGATAAAATCTCAGTTTTCCAGTACACTGTTATTTGTTAGACGTTAATCTGAATTATGTCGTAACCCGTTTTTTCCCTACCTACTATCAGATTTTCATCTGTAATTTAAACTAATATTTTAATATAACTTAACAACCAAGTACGGAATCATGTATCCAAATTAAAGCCATGCTATTTGTGCGATACCTCTTGAAAGCCAACATCAAAGTTGCTGAAGGCAGGTGTGAGCTTACGACATAGTAGCTGAGAATTCAGTGTTTTGATGATTAAGCCACATCTGTTGCAAACTTATTCTAAAGCCTGTTATAAACAATTGTCCTACACAGTACATAATTCATGTAACCAAAGTGGCTAATTTGTGTCGTGTTTCTCAAGTATTTAGAGATATTTAGTAAATATATTCTTTATTGAAAGTTATATCACTTTCGTGTGAACCGGTTTATGTTAATTTTTTCTTAGGTTGGAATATTTATTTAATTTCGATCAAGCCTACGAGATACGTGATGAAGTTGATACCTTAAAGCGCATGGGTTTAATGCTACGCCTAGGTACTATTCATTGTACACAAGAGGAGTATAATCAATGCTTAGAGTTAGTACCACCATCTCTAAGATTTTATGTAGAGGGTAAGTAGTCCTTTCTATTCTTCATAAGTGTTTTGCTCTAACCACCAAACTGAGGGATGGGACATTCATATTTTAAAAACAAAAATATTCATTTATTCAATGTCGTAAAACATTACTATCGTCAAATTATATTCTTTAAAAAAATATAATGCATATAGTATGAAAGGTTCGAAGTATGGCTTTTAATGAGTCATATATATTCCTTCATAACTTTTTTAGACAATTAAAGGATTTTACAACCATCTGATTTTGGTTGTATTGTGACGGTTACTCAAATATGTTCAATGTCTTTGTTTTATCTGTTATCTATATACTTTTAAGATATAAGAAGTTAAAGCTTATAAAGTTGGTTAATGCAATCTAATATTTTATCACAAACTAGTAGGTCGCATAGCTAATGTGATATTTTCCCACTATATCATGTAGTAGGATTATTGATGTACTGTGATAGGTTCTCTGAAGCACTCACTACAGAATCCATATGACGTACTTAATAGTCAGTCAGACGTAAAGTAGAACCCAGTATGTTGGTTCAAGTTGCAGTAGCCCTACGTAATAAACGAAATGAAAGCTCAGAAGATGCATTACTTTTATCCCATAATAAAAATACCCTCTTTTCTCACGAAATATTATCCTTTAATTGACTCTTTTGCTGGTATTCTTTACTAGCTAATTCCTAAGTTATCATTATTAATTCATCATCGGTTGTCATACACTAAACACTAGTAAACTCCGTTTACTGGAGTATACTTTTTATATGCTACTTACTCTACGGAGTACAAATGCTTCAAAATACTTTATGCGAATTCTGAAATATTATACAACATCGTAAGATATTTGTTCCAATTCTTTTTTGTTTTCTTCCTAGCCATTTACGAACGACGTCAGGCCATTGTACCTGACTTTGAGGCGCTTCATCAACAAAGAAGGTTATTCGTTGAAGCCAGATTAGCTGCTGCGGCTGCAGCCGGTCATACTGATGAAGGTGGTGACTCTATGGGATCCGGTGGTCATGGAGGGCCAGTTAACGTGCATCAACAGTTAGATCACTCTTTACGTAGTAGTCAGCGATCACCACTGGATACCAACTCTCATTATACTAGCTTGTTCGATACAGCGAACACAAGTGTAAATGAAGGTGGTTTACGGCAACTCTATTTAAATCGAAGTCCAGACGATGAAGACGGTGGTCATATTTCTGGATCTGTTTCTAATAGTGGATTTGTGCCTGGTGATACTCAGCATTATGCTCGTGCAGCCGCATCTCGTGGTTATGTTGTACCAGGTGGTCCAGGCGGACTTTTACGCCATCGACAGCATACTCCATCTTCCGGAGTTTCTAGCATTTTAAACCGTCAGTTTAGAAGTGATGGAGCTTCTCGCATGGGTTCGTCAACCTTGATCAGAACTCTAATTAGTGATAGCCGTGAAATGGCTTCTTCCGTAATCGGCGTCAACAATGAGCATCCCATGGCTCATAGTGACGATACAAATGATGAACTAGTGGATCCTGACGAGATTATTGAAGATCATGGTGATGATGAAGACGAAGATGAAGATGATGACGACATGGAAGATGTCTAAACATTAATTCTAAAATTCAGAGACGATATTTTGCAATAATAACTTGTTTTTACCAATTATATCTGTATCTATATTGCGTAATTTTGTACATCAGATTTTTTTTCATGGTCATAAATAAAAGGCATCAAAGGTTAAACGGATAGGATTTCAAGATTTATGAATTTAGTTTATAATTATATGTTAATTATCTTATTTATTTCCTACTGAAATCTTTGTATTTGCGTTCATTTTGGTGTATTTTACAGTTAATGGTTAAACGTAAATAGATAGCCCTTCTTGTTGTTTACATGTTCATTTCTTCTTATTTTCCCTTAAATTAATGTTTACATTCACCCATAATAAAATTTTTGTATAGTATATTATTTTCTATTCAGTATTAATTAAGTTTAATCCTAACCAAAGTTTCATGTATGAAGTAATTGTCTCTATTAAAAAAGTTAGTGATAATATAGGATTGTATTGTGACCTTGTTATGAATCCTCAGTGATTCAGTTGGTATTTATATCGAGTAGTTCTCCTGGCTGTCTGTTTAACATTCAATTTATTGGTTTTTCGAACCGATGAGAGCCTGGTTTTATGTATACATTTAATTCTCTCATAAATGGGTTCCAGCAGAACTGATTAATATACATTCACATTATCTGTTACATCGCACATAATTCGGGCTAATAGCGATCTTAATCGGCATTCCGTTTTAGAACTTAATTATAATCTGTTCCACACCATTTTATTCATTCTCTCGTAAACGTTGATCACTATTGCATTTTGAAATATTTTGTGAACATCACTTGTCACGTTAGTTAATCTTTCAAATACCTAGACAAAGTACTTAAAATTTTGTATGTATATTACGTATTCATATCCATGATACGATACGGACTTACACTCAAAGGGATAAAACAAGTAATAGCTGTCAACACAGTTAAAGAATACAGTGGCTAGTTCAATATAGCCTGAGAAATAATGATCACCTTACATAAGCAACACAGCCGGAAAATTGTGCAAGAAATTAGTAGCTACTTATAAGTAATACGGTTGGGATACATAAATCATCAGCAATCTCTACTGACACGATAAAAATACACAAACCGAAGCGGGTAGCAAACAATTTACTCCATCATTGTGAAAAGAGAAGTTTCGATTTTGGACAATACCTGGGACTTAAACGTTTCACCAATGTATGACAAGCCAAACCAGTACACTTTTGTCAAAAATCATGTGTTCAATAAATTTTGAAAAATTTGCCTATTCCCTTTATTTCCATTGTTGATTTAAAACTGGGAATTTCAAAGTGTCTCATTATAATTTATAAAAGCCCAACAATTCTAAGCAGTAAAACAGGTGGATCATGTTTCTTACATCTATACAAAGTGTTCCAAACATTACCGTGTTTTCGCTGGTGACCTAGATAAAACTTTACCACTCATAAAAGGACTATGCCATACTTTGCGGTCAACCCATAGTAATCGAATCTGAAAGGCATCACTTTTGTTTTTATGATAAACTGGGATAAGATTTACGTTCATTGTAGAGCACCACGTTAGCTTAAGCGAAATCAAAATGTAAAATTATTATAGATAACCCGAATTGGGACATCTATTAGGTACACTTAATAAGTAGTCTGATATTTTTTAACTAACAGAGTAAACTGGGTGGAGTTGATATAATATTTTAGCATGAATTAATGTCTTGCAGTGAGTTTATGTCCACAGTTGTAATTTCCGTATGTGATTGATACGTGAAATGAATTAATACTCGATAAAGGGTATGTTATGAACAGTTGTGAAAGCTTTCAGTATGTTCATCTAATAAGTGGTGTACATCTATTGACTTAAAGTTTTAATACAACAGATTCACCTTTCTTGACACATTGGATAGTGTTTTTATTCAAATACATTGATCTTAAGTTACTCAGCTAATATAATAAAATGGAGATTAGCTAACAATGTATGTATAGTATATGATACACTAGTGATTTGAATGGTTTTTCGAAATTTCCAAATAGTTTTCAGCACATGCTGATAGCTGTAGAACTAATAGAAACCAGGGATACCTGAACAGTTGTTTCTTTTGGACTTGCTATCATGCTCATCCTTCTGTTCCGAGTATAATCTTGTTTGAGGCTGATGTCTGCTTTATCGCAATTTGTGACATGTGAGAAATCTGTTCGACAGTGAAAATATAAATAATCAGGCGTCGGCAACATAAAATAAATATCTGATTTTCATTATCATCAAAAGTATTTATCATCATACTGAGTGTTTATTCGGAAAGCAGTTTTTTAACATGGCACTATTTTGTATTTATAGACGAGCTTTTCTACAAAACAGTCGACGAATTCTGACGTTGGACTATATCGACCACCTTGTAAGTATGGGAGAACTTGTTATCGAAAAAATCCTAAACACTTTGAAGAATTTTATCATCCAGGTTAGTTTTCCACATATGAACAGGAAATGATTGTGACCAGTACCTTTGGGATTATCAATTTAATTTATACTAGCTATGATACTCGATCTGACTGTTTATGAGCAATCTGATTCCCGGTCATTAATGATTTTGCTTGGCTTTCGTTTAAATTAACTGTAAACATCTGTCTACACTTCTTCACATTGGATACGTACAAATCAATACAAATCATGTTGTTCCGAATAATCTGAACAGTGTTATTTTAGGTGCAGGTATTTAGTAATTTAACCACCCAATTTCTAACCATTTAGTCGCATGCTAAAATCTACGTTTCATACATTATCTAGTATATTGTCTCTTAGATGAATTTGTTAAAATCGTCATCCTCTTTATTTTGTCCGTATTTCTATGAATTGGCTACCTAAATATTTTAGTTCTTATGGATCAGTGAGAAGAAATAGTTTTTCACTGCTGTAAATACCAAGCTAGTACGTTTGAATCGTTCTTATATGGTAAGTAGTCACAGAGTACAATTACATTCAATCAACTTGTAACAATTCTTAATAATGATCAGATACTTGGTTGTTTTAAAATAATTTCTACTTATCTTGCTAAACACCATGTATAAGGTTTTGTTATATAATAGGATTTTTGAATTTCAACCTTAATTAAAAGCTGTGATGAAATGAGCTCTTGTTATTTCTGAATTATGTTTTACAGCTCTATTAGTGTTGTCATAGTTATTTAACAGTTTGAATAAGAAACTGTTTTGCTTGTTTATTACGTTGTGGTAATGAACTCATCAGTGTATTATCTCATACATTTTACAGATCATGAAGTATTGGTTGGGCACCATACTACAAACTCAAACAGCACCAAAGATTCAGAAGACGTATCAACCAATGAAAATTTCTATGGCATTTATCTCTTTCGCGTATCTGGTGTAAAGTACGGTAGAATTCCTACTATAACCTTAAAGGGTAAGTTATTAACATTTTATGACACAGTAGTGTAATTCACTATACGTTTCGTCTTAGCTATAGTTCATCACATGAATGTATCTGAGTCTTTCGTGTTATCTATGATATTTATTTATTAGTCAAGATTTTCAATACCGAAGTTTATTATCACGATCTCTGAGATATCTATTAAGCTGTGTACAAATAGCTCATCTGAAATTAGTTGACTAAATATGGTACTATATATCAATGTATTCGTTGCATATAGCATATGAGTTCAAGCTGTTCAATCTGAAGCAGTTAGAAATGAATTTAAACCATCGATTTTGTGGTTGAGTCTGATGTTCTGAACACTTAGATACATATATCAGTCTGCCTGCACTGGGCTCAACAATACTGTTGACTGATAGGAAAATTTATTTGTCAGTCATTAACCCACCTCAAAGTCTCTCACCTACGTTGATTTCGTTCATTACTGTACGCTGGATTTACATTAATGATCACCGATTCTCAATTTTCTTAATAGCAGGAGGTACTGATTTCGTACTGATCTATCAGTATTTCTCCTTAACTGACTTCGTGTCTTACTGTTATTCTTTTTTTTACAAATTTGTATTGAAGTCGTCTTGTGTAACAAAACGTTTTCAATAAAACTTCACTTCAAGAATGTTCGTTTAAAGGGACTAATTACTTGTTGACTTGCTTACCAGGTGTGACCTTGTGTACTTATCGATAAACAACATTTTAAATTAGAAGGCTAGGGATACCATCAGTTAGCTCAACCGGAAGTAGATGGAGCGAGACATGAAACTGAAACTTAATGAATGAAAGTCGAAAGCTTTAATCACCGAGTCACTGATCTACTAAAAAAGTGAATGGAAATTTAATTAACAATTTCCTAGTCTCTGAAGTTTGATATAAAAAAATTAAGAGTGGAAATCAATCCATGTTAACCACATTGTCAAGTACAGTAGTATTGACTTAATTTTATAAAAAATATCAGTAATCGTTGTATCCCATTAAGTGATTTAAACCACTAGTGTTGACTGTTAATACTTGGTCCTTCGGTTTGATAACAACTATTTGGTGAGGTTGTGTTGTAGTTCCTTTCCTACAAGGGATCGGGAACATTAACTGGTAAAGATTAGCCTACCTGATAGTATCTTATCTCCAGTAATGTCTTTAGTTGTTATGATATAGAATTATGTAGTTCGTAATTTTTTTATTTACCGTATTTGTTTCCCATTTCTATAGAAATTCTTGATTCCTCTGATGATGAACTTGTATCTTCAATTCAAGTAAGTTAAAATTTTCCTAACAAATATGATGAATATGCTTTCAACTGAGTTTATCTTTTCAAAGCTTCTTTTTAATCACTTAACTGACTTTTACTAATCGTTTATTCTTTCATAGTCAAGTTCACGAAATAGTCTTAGTCAAACAACCACTGAAGAACTGAATCAATGTCCTAAAGGTTAGGCATTTTCTCGCTTGACCGAAGGTCCTAATGTAGTGAAGGAGAACACAGGTGAGGACAACCGAATTGTATTTAGCACAAAATTACAGTTACTTGGTAAAATAGAAAAATCATATAGTAAATCGTTAATTTGCAAAATATCAATGCATCATATCAACCTGGACTGTTCCTGTTGCATTGTGTTGTCGCTCTTCCTTTCTTGATCTTTTCCAATCTTCTGCTGCCAGACATTACGTTTTATAACTCGCGTCATATACTACTTACATCGATATAAGTAGCACGCACCACACTAGATTTCATCCCTGATGGAGAGGTTGTGGACTAGCACCACTGGGGAATCCCATACTAAGTCGCAAAAAAGGTTTGGTTTTCAGTAGTCGTTTAACTAAGACCTTCCCGTGATGTTAACTATGCTATCAAAAAGAATTTCCATAAACCTCGTTAATTATAATTAATTACTAATTGTTAGGTAGTCGGAAAAAAGAGACCAATAATTATCATGTTAAGTCCA